GCAGAGCCCTGCCTTGCCCACAGCACAGTGAACACAGCTTGCGTTTGAAAAGAACTTTATTTAAAATCAGCGATGATACAGACTGCCCCCGCTGTCACAGCACAAGGTGTCCCAGCACAAGGTCCCCGTGCCCTGGGCAGCCCCGGCTCACAGCAGTCCAGTGATTCCATATGGAAATACAACGCGTACAGATCTGCTCCTTCACGGCTAACAGGCAATTCAGTAACCTCAACCCATTTTGTTTTCTATGATTTCTAGTGTAACCAGACTTAAAATTTGTCTTCTAAGAAATCTGGAGAAATCTTCCTTTAGCAACAGCGTGCACCAGCTGAGCAATTCCCACCACCTTTGTCACCACGCAGACAGCAGAGCCAGCAGGAGTCAGGGCCATCAGCAGGGAAATATGATCAATAGCAGCATTTTCCACGTGATCTCAAGTTACAGTCGTCTACAGAAGAAGGAATTGTGATCACCAGTAGGGAAGCAGTTAATTACTGAATCCATTGTTAAAAGAAATTGAGTTGAAGGCAGGTTTTACCTTAAATAGGATTAAATATATATTGCAAGACACACCACACTCTGCAGGAGCTGCACATACAGAAGCAGAACTGTGGGCAGGGAGGCAGCGTGTGTCCCCCCCCGCACCCAATATTCCCACACAACATTGTCAAATTTAAAACTATCACCACTTGTTGAAAGTTGTCCAAGAAGTATTTACAGCACAGGCAGGGCCGGGAGAGGCTTGGGGAGCTGCAGGTCTGGCCAGGGTGCTCCCGCAGTCCACGGAGCTCCAGCACTGGGTCCGGCAGAGCAGCTGCTGCCCGGCCGTGCCAGCTCCTCACACCCCTCTACCCCTACACAGACAAGCGTTTGGCGTGGGTTAGGACAAAGCTACAGGCGGTGCCGTGGCGTGGGCATGGGCGAGCACTGCCCATGCTGCAGTGGGCCCGCCCGGCGCACACGGGAGGATGCACGGCGGGGTCGGAGCAAGAGAGGCTCCTCGGGAACATGCTGCACAGTCGGGCTCCAGCCTCTACAGAAATCCTGGCTTCCAGCGTCAAATAAAGCCATTTCCAGCTATACAGCGAGGGCGGCACTGATCTGGGACCGGTGTTTAAACAGATGCCAGTTCCTACGGACCTACGTCGCGTATAGCTCCACGTATTACAGAGACCAGGCCGGATCTTCAGCGAATAAGTAGGTCCACGATTGTAGATCAACAACAGACTTTTATTGCTTTATACATGTGGTGCTGTTCAAGGCACTGTGGCACGGGCTAGAAAACTCGGAATGACTCGTGAAGGGACCTGGAATGCGACACAGCCGGAGCCGNCCCGCGCCGCGCTCGAGGCGCCATCGCTCCCGGGCTGCTTTGGGCCTTGCTGGCTGGTGAGGAGCAGCAGTTCCTCTTCAGAGCCACTGTTCTTTTCATATAAGTAACATTTGCCTATGTTAGTTTCATTTATTTGTTTTATTTATTACAGGGCTGCTATTTTCATAATGTACATGAACAATGTCACAGAACTTTTGAATTTTTTTTTTTAATAAACTTCTGTATGGGTAAAATGATAGATGGGATTGCGTTAATAGATACAATGTCTAGGCAATAATTGAACAAAGAATCCTGGCGTATTTCTAACACTAATGGCAATTGACCTTTGGTATTTATTTACGGTAGTAAAGATCCAGCTTGAATGTAAATTTTGTATAGAGTGTAAGTATGAAGACCATAGTGCATCTGTACAGGTAGTCACCAGTCCTTGTGATATAATAAATAAGTGATGGGCTATTTTGATGAAGAAAACTTTGCTCATTTCTGTTTCTACTTTTTAATAGAGAGAAGGGGGCCATGATTCCTCTGCTTTTTGACATTTCGTTTTTGGTTTGGTTTTTTGGTTGGGAATAAAAAGCTGTGAAATTGTTCAACCTACTTTGTAACCAAAGAAGCAAAGCTGTATAATTGAGTTGGTTGTTGGTTTTTTGTTTTGTTGTTTTGGTTTTTTTTTTTTTTAATTTTATAATGCACATTCTTTATGTATTTTTTATTTAGTGTTTTCTCATTCACAACTTTCTTTGCTGTCTCGCATGATCTGCATGACCTGTAATCTTTGAACCACTTCCGTACCTCATGTTTTTATCCAGCACTCTTAGTGTAATATGTACTAGTCTGTGAACAATGTCAATAAAGAGAAAGAACAGCTGGTGTTGGTGGAGCTAAGCTAGTGTGCTAGGCACTAGTTGTTAAAACAAATAAATGAAGTGAGCCATCTTTTGTTCATTTAAAATGGTGTTTTGAATTTCGTATGCAGAAAACGTTTTGTTACATTGCAGATTTAATGTATTTAATAAATGCAACATGCAGATTAAATGCAGTGTATACTGAGTATTTAAATTAAAAATGTACATTTCATAAATACAGTTTCAAAAAAGACCATCATTTGTGTAAACTAATGCAGTGTGTCAAATCGATGTACAAATATATATATATATTTTAACACATTTTCTGAAATTAAACCAGTTTTGTTGAATTTTTTGGCTGTAGATGTTGTTGCAGTGTAATTAAAATCAGTAGCTCTTTTCTGAACAAAATGGAGAAGTGTAGTGTCAGTGAGGCCGTAACAGACCAATGCCAGGGTTACCACTTTGCATGCAGCACACTGGTTTCTTCTCTTCTAGGAGAAGCATCTTCTGATGCTGTCAGTGGCTGCCTTAGGGGTTTGGGTTTGCACTGATAGCTCTGAATAAACATCTGGGCCTGCTCAGTCACTGCTGTGAGTGTCTGCTTCAGTACTGGAGCCCTGAGCAGCTCTAACTCTGCTCAGGCTTATGTCTAAGGAAGAACAGAGGAAACATTGGAAACTGCAAGTTTTGGTGTCTTCAGATCTCAAAGAAGTGTCCATGTCCTGGAAACAGAGAAGCATCTCCTCCTGGTAAGCATCGGTTCAGCACAGTTCAAACAAAGCCTGTGTGGTGTGCTTATTGAAAAGTTCTTGCTAAAGTAACGCCAAAGTGATCTTTCCATTAGCTGTGGATTGGTATTTTCTGCCTGCTGCACCCCTGTGCTGTGAGCACTGCTGGGAGACTTTAGTGCCACAGATTAGAAAGCAAAATATTTCAGTAGCTATGTGTGCTTCCTCTGCAGTGTGATCAGTGGTTCACTCCAGCTGTACAATGAGGATGATGCTGGTAAAGTAAGAAAAAAGGGACAAATTGGGGATTGCTGGGAACAAGAGTCCCTCAGGTGAGTAGTTGATTAAACTTCTTGGAGGATACTCTGTACCTGTCAGTTTGCTTTTGAGTGAAACAGAACAGAGACCCCTTTCTGGAGCTGCCGCAGGTGGTGATTGTTTTCCTGCTGGGAGCAGAGGGAGCAGCGAGTGCCCGTTCCTCTGTGTGTGCGAGAGCTGTGGGGCAGCCATGGGCGCATCCTTCTCACCGGGGCGCTGCAGAGGCGCTTTCTCCAAAAGCAAGAAGCGTTTAGGAAATCTGAAAAGGGGGATGAAACAAAGATTGAACTGATGCTGTTGCAAAGCCTTTGCTTTGCTCCTGTCGAGTTTGCTTTGGGGGTTTGTGTTTAGTTTTCGCGTCGAGATAAGCTGTATTCAGCTGTGGACAGCGGCTCGGCTTGTGAGAGCCCTGTGCACTGTAGGAAAGGGTCAGAGAATGCTGCGGGCTCTTGTCGAGAGGCTGCCTGAGGAACAGGAGCAGCAGTTGTCACAGGGACACCGCCGCGGTGTCGGTAGATGTGCGGCTGCCGGTGGCAGGGAGCCTCGGTGCCGCCGGGCCCCGCTCGGTGCCGCCCGCGCTGCTGCGACCCGGCCTTGGGCCGGCCCGGGGCCGAGCTGGCTGCGGGAGCCCGCTCTCCGCGCCAGGTGCGGGTGCTCTAACACGTGTCTTGGACATTGTTCCATAGCTTTGGTATAAAGGATTCAGCTGCTGCGTTCACGGCAGCGTGTGCTTTGGCACGGGTCGGGAGCGGGCTCTAGTCGCGGTGTCACAGAACGCTCTGAATGCACTGAAGCTGGGCAGAGGAGGCTCCGAGCTAGGCCCGGCGTCTCAGACCGGACGTGACAGAAGATGAGGGGAAAAGCTACGGAAACAGTGGAGGATGCGGAGGAAATGCTTTCTGAGGAGAGCTTCAAGGCCGCGGCCCTGGCTCAGAGGGGAGCGCTTGCAGGAGG